ACAGCATGCTGCAGACAGTAGGGGCTTAGTAGTACATATGTGTTTACCGAGTTTGGTGAGACAGGCATCAGCAATCTGAACTCTAGGTTTCTTAAGTTTTCTCCCCTACCGTAAAAAAAAAAAAAAAAAAAAAAGTGAGAGAGAAGTATTTAAAAACAAAGCCTGGACTATGTATTATCATTAACACATTAAGATTATTTATAACAATAGCGCTTTTGTTTTATTATTCCAGTGAGCATTAGCCTTTATTGTACTTCTTGGTAAAATATCGTTTACCTGGAACTGAAAGCCTGGGGTTTTATCTTAGCCAAAGAATGTGTGTTTAGCAGAGAAAGTAATTAGGCGACATACTTAAGGGATTGTCAATGCAGTGTTATTTCAGCTCTTAAGCAATCTAGATCCTGTTAAAATGTTTCTCCTTTTTCTCTTTTTCCTTTCGCCCCTTCTGCCTGTCTTTCCAGGTCCCTTATTTCCCGCGAGTCATCGGCATCCACAACTTTCAGCCTGACAGAAACTCAGTCTGCGTTGAGCGTTAAACAAGAGTGGTCCCATGGCTACAGAACTCTCCCTTCTCTCCCTTCCACCCACAGCTCTCAGAACGGCACTGAGCTTGGAGACATCCTGGGCCTTCCTCCGGGCTCCGCCATGTCCAGCAGCAGTGTCTCCAACTCACTCCCGCCCTACCTTTTCGGCATGGAGAACAGCCACTCTCCCTACCCGAGTTCCCGGCACTCCTCACCCAGGTCCCACTCGGCCCGCTCCAAGAAGAGGGCCCTGTCCCTGTCCCCACTGTCCGATGGCATCGGGATAGACTTCAACACCATCATCCGCACCTCGCCCACCTCCCTGGTGGCCTACATCAATGGCTCCCGGGCTTCCCCGGCTAACATGTCCCCGCAGCCCGAGGTCTACGGTCACTTCCTGGGTGTGCGTGGCAGCTGCATCCCTCAGCCATGCTCTGTCCCCGGTGGCCAGAAGGGTCTGCTGGTGGCCAGCAGTGGCCTGGCGCTCCCGGCCTACGGGGAAGATGGTGTGGCCGAGTATGAACGCATGCAGCAACTGGAGCATGGTGGTCTGCAGCCTGGCCTGGTGGGCAGCAGGGTGGTGCAGCCTGGCCAGTCCACTGGCTTGCTGAAGACCGAACGGCTGGATGACTTCCCAGGGAGCACCCTGGACCTGCCTTCGGCGCCCCCTCTCACGCCCCAAGGACCTCCGCCACCCTACCATGCGCACCCGCACCTTCACCACCAAGACCTGGTCCCCCACACCCAGCCGCTGTCCCTATCCCAGGCTGCGCTGGAGGAGGATGGGGACATGGATGACCTTGGGGGCAAGCATCGCTGTCACTGGATAGATTGCAGTGCCCTGTATGACCAGCAGGAGGAGCTTGTGCGGCACATCGAGAAGGTCCACATCGACCAGCGAAAAGGAGAAGATTTTACCTGCTTCTGGGCTGGGTGTCCACGCAGGTACAAGCCCTTCAACGCCCGCTATAAGCTGCTCATCCACATGCGAGTCCACTCCGGGGAGAAGCCCAACAAGTGCACGGTGAGTTTCCGCAGTCCCTGGGGCTGCCTTCAGAGATGGTCCAGATTGCTCTTGATGCGTTTTTCCAACCTCTGGCCAAACATCAGGGGACACCTTCTTCCCAGTTGGAGTTTGGATACTGAGCTCTTGATGTTCATGAGGTGATTGACTCCTCTTCAGCTCTGAGGAGGGGCACTTTCTTTATTATTAGTGGCGATGGGATCTCTCCACGAGTTCATGGTCTTTGAAGAGGTACATGTACCATCGTGGTGGTCTATCTGCCACACCATCCCTAAATCTTGGTGCAATGATGCACGTACTTGGGATTCTGAATTAAGCCGGCATGTGCGACAGCAGATACGCACACACTACACCGCCAGCACTCGCTGGGTGTTTTCCCAAGCGAGTACCCAGTAGTTCGCCTTTCTCTTCGGGCAGTGCGCGGATACCAGGGTTAGAGAGTTGGTTGTTCTGCTCTTTGGAAAGGAACTCACTTCTTAGCATGGCGATTGGTGTGAACCACGTGCCTCCACATGCCTACAGCCCTTCAGGATGGCAAGAGTGGTTAGGGGTTTAGAACATGCAGGGGATATAGTAGGTACAGGTCCAACAGGGTCTCACTCAGGTGAGGAAATTCCATGGGAAGAATTCCATGGGAAGTAAGAGCTGAGGAGGGGATGTGCTCTTGGTGTTGAAAGAAGTAGGTGAGGAATGACGTCCCCTTCCCCTACCCCTTCCCTTTTCATGGCTTGGTGGTGGTGGTTCTGTGCCATAGAGTCAGTTCTGACTCATAGCGACTCTGTACAGGATTTCTGAGGCTGTAAATCTTTATGGGAGCAGAAAGCCTGAACGTTCTCCCGAAGACCCACTGGTAGTTTCATACTGCTGATCCTGAGATTAACAGCCACATTTGTAACCACTATGCCATCAAAGCTCCTTGTTATGACTTATTGTTGTTGTTGTTGTTAAGTGCTGTCGAGTCAGTTCAGACCCATAGCAACCCTGTTTAGGGTTTCAGAGGAGTGGCTGGTGATCTTGAACCCACCGATCTTACAGTCCAGCAAATTAATCCTCAGTGCCACACCAGGACTCTTGGAAATGCCTCTGCTTTTTGGTAAAATGGACTGTTTTTGAGTAACAAGACTCTTCAGTGATTTCATAATCATTTCACACCTAACCCAAAGCTCTCTGGGGCTCAAAACAGGGCACGCCCCCCAATCCCGGGGTTAGAGGAGTCAGGTACTTCATGTTCTTCAGTTTAGAGGGAGAGGGCAATCTGCTTCAGAGTTACAAACCTGGCAATTCCAGGCCCTCCCTGGACTTTGAACATGCTACAGATCACAGGATGCGTACAATGCAGAAATCATTTTCAAAAAGGTGCTTCTTTGGGCTGGGGTTCCCCCACCTGGAGCCCCTTCTTTCTGTTGCGTATCTTGATGATAAAGGCTCTGGACTACTTGTGTGTTTGATTGGAGATTGACCAACTTGTCTGATTCAGGTAAAAGTCAACCAAGCTGGTAACGTTGTAATCAGGTGTTGTCGGTAAGTACCACTGAGTTGGTACCGACTCATGGTGACCCTGTAGAGGGGTTCTGAGGATCCTCTGGCAGGTTTGATCTGCCAACCTTGGGGTTAACAGTCCAGTTCTTATCCTACAGCGCTGTACCAGAACTCCCAAGTTGGGCTTTAGATGTTCAGTGGGCCTTCTTTTGCAAGGATTGAAAGAATTTTGGGTTGAATGAAATTGCATTTCTTGTCCTTAGGTTGTGCCCCACGTTGTGATTATTTTTCTTAAGGAAAACCCGAAACTGATACGCTGTGAGCTTGCCAGGTGGTAGAAGTAAGAAGGATTATATGCCAGGTGGCAAAACCTTACTGTACAGGGTTTCCGAAAAGCAGCTGGTGGGCTTGAGCTGGCGACCTTGTGGTTCACAGCTCAGTGCTGATCCTATGGTGTCCTGTCCAGGAGTTCACTCCGTCAGTCGGGTTCTGCATTTAAAAACAAGCCCCAAAGAGGCCAGCAATTGAAGCCAGTTCCATTGGAACACGCCAGACCCTTGTAGGCAGGAACACCGTTCAGTCCCTGAAGAAAAACAGTCCAGCTTTTTAGTTCAGAGTAATCCTGACTGAAAAGATTTCACTTCACTGAAATAAACGTAACAGCTTGAGTTATCCAAAAGTAACTTTTTTTTTTTTTTGCATTTGAAAAGTAATTTTTTAGTATATTAGGATATTCCCCATTCTCCCACTGTTTCCAGACTTTATTAAGGCATTTAACTGTATACCACTGATTTTTTTGCCTGATGACTAATAAAAATCAGAGCACTTCAGTAAAAGAACAGGCTGACAGAGATAGAGGCAGAGATGATGATGTGGAGAGATGGAGTGGCTGGGGACTCTAGACCCACAGAGGGAGAGGGGCTGTGTGCTGAACACCAGGGGGCATGCTTGTAGTGTATACCCTTTGGTTGGCTGATGATGTATGGAGGGGATTGTAACCATGGCAATGAGACGATATATGATAGGATGAATGTAAAACTAATGTTCTTCCATGTAAACTATCACATAATTCACAATAAAATGTTAAAAAAAAAAAAAAAAAAAAGAGCAGGCTGAGAGGTGAAGGTGTGCAGACCCAGACAGGGAGGACGTTTCATTGTGTCATTGGGGTTGGGTCTGGGAGGCGCAGCTCTCGCTCCTCACTGTTCTGCCCACTCTCCAGTTCTCGGTGGAATCTTCTCAGAACTCGGTTTGTAGCCAAGTTAGGCTGCACAGACACGACAGAGCTACATGCCAGTGGCTTCCTCTTGCTACTATGCGGATGTATTTAAAACCGGCTTTACTGGGTCTGACTAGTGCTGAATGCTAATCTCAGGACTGTATACTTTAAAACAGGAAAGACACTCATTTTCATTCAAAAACATGGATATCATGGGCAATATGTCTGCTGGTAACTTGTACCTTGCTACGTGTCATCTTGTGGTGCTACAGGATAATGGGCTGGACCGCAAGGTCGGTTTGAACCTCAAGGTGGGCAGTTCAGACTCATGGGCTGCTTCTTGGAAACCCCAGGCAGGGTTGCTATGAGTCGGAACTGACTCAACAGCACTCAACAACCACAACAAAACCAACCAGCTACAAATAGTTTTGTTGTGAAAGTTTGGCATTACAGGCAGTCCCTGGGTTCTGAATGTCCACCTGACTGACAACTCGTATTTGCACTTTAATATTATGCAGATTGGTCCTCACGTTGGAATGATTGAAAGTAACCTTTACTCGCCACGGATTTTTCATGGCAGGCTGCTTCACCTGCCGCAGGTGCAGCTTTTAAATCATTGACATGACTCCTTTCCCCACACTAACTGATGTGGAGCTGTGGGTTAATGCGCTGAACCACAAGGTTGGTTTGAACCTCAAGGTTAGCGGTGCACACTCACCATCCGCTCCTCGGAAATCCTATACAAGGTATCTATGAGTCTGAACCAACTTGAGAGCACTTAACAACAGCAACAACAGCCAAACCCACTGTTGAGTAGATTCTAATTCACAGACCCTATAGGACAGAGAAGGAGCTCTGGTAGCGTAGTGGTTACGAATCGGGCTGCGAACCTTAAGGTCGGCAGTTCGAAACTACCAGTTGTTCCGTGGGAGAAAGATGAGGCTTTCTGCTCCCGTAAAGATTTATAGCCTCAGAAACCCTGTACAGGGTCGCTATG